GGAGAGCTGACCGTGAGACGGACGAAGGCAGAATGCGACCAGCGCCAAAAGGCTGATGTCGTCCACCTGGGGTCCCAGGTCCCGAGGGGTCCGTAAGCACCCGGAATTGCTTACCTAATGTTATGCACGCAAACAGGCATTTGGGGGGTAAGCTCATAGCTTTCGTCAGCTTCACCCCAAAAGGTAAAGAGCCTTTTGTACAACCCGACTTTCTGAAAGGGCGCTCGCCGTCACCGGGATACTCACTCACGGCTTCCCAGGAGGCACCGGGGAGAGACCTTTACTCTCGGAACCGGAGACCCGCCTCTCCCGGCCCCGCCTCTCCCGGCCTCCCCTCTCCGGGCCTCCCCTCTCCCGGCCTCCCCTCTCCCGGCCTTCCCTCTCTCGGCCTCCCCTCTCCCGGCCTCCCCTCTCCCGGCCTCCCCTCTCCCGGCCTCCCCTCTCCCGGCCTCCCCTCTCCGGGCCTCCCCTCTCTCGGCCTCCCCTCTCCCGGCCTCCCCTCTCCCGGCCTCCCCTCTCCCGGCCCCGCCTCTCCCGGCCTCCCCTCTCCCGGCCTCCCCTCTCCCGGCCTCCCCTCTCCCGGCCCCGCCTCTCCGGCCTCGGAAAACATAAATCTGGGAAATGGCCATCACGGGGCTCCCCGGAGTCACAGAGGCCCACGAGCTTTATTGTTGTTATTATGCTCCTGGCTCCCTCTGTCTCCCGTACCTCCCGGGGCCGTGCGTGACGCGTATCAGAGCGGACAGTAATCAATATTTGATGAAGGTGCGAGTTAACTGAAATCATAAACGTAAACAGCAGAGCAGGGCCTCAGCGAGCCATCTCTGCTTCCTGGTATGTGTGTCTGGTGCTCCGCAAACAGCCCGCACGGAGTGTCCTCTCCCCTCGAGACTGACCCCCACCCCCACCCCCACCCCATCCCCCATGGGACTCGAAGGCCGGCCCCTGGACGGAGCCTCTCGGGCGGCCAGGCGACGGGTGGCTGTGCCCACCCTCCTGCCCGCCGCCTCCCGGCCGCGCCCGCCCAGGAGCGCCCGGTCTGCCCTCGGCGATCTCTCTCCCGCTCCCGTGCCGTGATCCTCGAGGACCGGGCCGGAGGCAGTGGCGGGCGGGTCCTCAGAATGAGTGAGGAGGGGCCGTGCTTCCCGCCCACAGCCTCCCCGCGGGAGCCTGTGTCAGCATCTCCCAAGAAGGGGGGAGGGGGGGACGCAGAGCTTGCCACCGGGCAGAGCCCGCATGACCTCTCGGGGTCATTGTGACCGTGGAAATGGATGCTGAGGCATCGAGGGGCACAAAGCTGTTCTCACCTGTATGGCCCAGGCCTGCGCCAGCCCCCCAGGGCGGCAGAGCCCTCCCCGTGTGCGGGCACGTCCCCGATGCATCCCCACCACAGCCCCGCAGGGCCGGGCTGTTTGGCTGGTTTTGTGGGTGAGGAGTCGGAGGCTCCGGAGGGTAAAGAACTGGCCCAGAGCCACGCAGCCAGTGTGTGTGGGAGCCAGGCCCATGTCCACGTCCGCCCGCTCACCATTCTTCTCTCCTGTGCGCCGTGGGGGCGGCTCTAAACGTCTGGCAGGCGCCTCTGGCCTTCACCCGGGACCCGCCCTCTCCCGAGCCCCTCTGCTGGAGCTCTGGCTGGCGTCTCTCGTCTGCTTGCGTTTGGGCTTCCGATGTTCTCGGCCCTGCTGCCCGCTCCCCGCCTGCCCTCCGAGCACGGGGCGCACCCGCCCTGACCGGGCGCCTCCCGGGAAGCAGGCGCCTGCGCTGTGAATGGAGGCGGGAAAGGCATCCCCTCCCTGCCCCGGGCCCTGGGGTCTCTGTCCTTACGAGAGCCGTGGCCTCAGGCCTGACTGCCCGGGAGCAGGAGCGCCCACATCTCGTTGTTAATGCCCCCTCTGGAGATCATGAGCCTGATCTCCCAGGCAGACCCCTCGGAGAAACAGCGATGCTTCAGACCTTGAACGTGTAGGCCAGGAGTGGGGCTGCGGCAGAGACATGGACTCCCGGCAGGAGCAGCCTTGCTTCACCTCTGCCCTCCTTGGAGACAAGGAGTTATGAGCTCCACCCCAGAGATGGGAAAAGGAGAGGGCGGGACCGACCTCACTCCGCTCAGGGAGAAGGGAGGATAGGATGTATGTCCTCAGTCCCTGTGTGTGTCCTTGGGCGGCGGGCACCGCTGGGTTGGTGCCCTGCTGGCTGAGCATTGGCTGTGGGCTGGGCCTAGGGCGGGCCCTCAGAGGGCTGTCACTCAGAGCACCCCCCCATCCCTCCCACCCCCATCTCCTGGCTCCCGGCTCCCAGACCCATGTCCTGGCGCCCTACGTGACGGTCAGAGAAGGTGCTACAGTAAGGAGGTGACCGGACGTCCCGCTGTTGGCGGGACAGTCCCGATTCTTAACCAGAGTGTGGACCTCTTCACAAGAATCGGGGCTGCCCCCCAACAGCGGGACGTCCGGTCACCTTATCCAGGGCGGCTCCTCCCCAGGGGTCCTACCTGAGAAGCTCGTCCGGGGAACCCGCGCCCAGCTGGTCTCCTCTTGGGGAGACACATGCGCACGTGCTCCCGGCTCCCCCGGCACCAGGCATTCTCCCCTACAGTCAGGCGCGAGAGAGATAAATCAAAGCCCGCGTGGCCGATGACATTCGGGAGCCGGGGGTGACCCCCCACACCTACGTGTCTGGGCGGGCGGGCGGGCGGGCGGGCGGGCGGGCGCGGGGCTGTCGGGCCCCTTTGCTGACGGACGGACGGAGCCCCGGCCGCCGGCTGCGCACGGACGGTCCCCGCCGCGGTGCCGGCCGCTATCAGAGGCAGGGCCGCCTGCCGGGCCAGGGCTCGCACCCTCTCTATTACCACCTGTCAGTGGCGGGGAGTGTGGCTGACGCTGCCCAGGGCCGGCGGCCGCGGGGAGATAGTTTCTGACGGCTGATCAAAGGGGAGCGGCGAGGCCCGATAAGGAGTGTGCGCTGCGTGTCCTTTTAACTCGGGGAAGCGTTGGCATTTGCATTTTTTTCTCCCCCGCCCCCCCCATCTTCCCGGCCGGCGCTGGCAGGAGCCGGGCCCCATAAATGCCGTGGATTCGGTTACCTAATCGCGGGGCTGTAATCTCTTTCCAGGAGAGAGGGGTGAAGTCGGCTCTCGCGGAGGACGTGCCGTATAACAAAGCAGGAGAGTGTGAGCGGGGCTTTGAAGCGAGCGTGCGTGCGTGTGAGCGCCGGCCCTGGCGCGCGGCAGGGCGCCGCGCACGTTTCGGAATGCGGGCGCAGCTTCAGGTGGAGGGGAGATCTTCGCCGAAGGGGCGGTCCCCCAGCCCTCATGGGTGTCCCCCACACAGGGCCCCGGGGGTGCTCAGCCTAGGGCGGCCGGGAGGCGATGGCCCTGGGGCAGAATGAGGTCCCCAGGCAGCAGAGATCTGTTCTTTTATTCATATTTTCTCAATGACAGTTTACGTCCAGTAGTGTTTTGTACTAGAGTTGGGTACAGGGCATCGTGATTAGACAATCATAAACTTTTTTGTATTATTATTTACTAGAGGCCCGGAGCCCAAAATTCCTGCACGGGTAGGTTCCCTAGGCCTGGCCGGTGATCCGGGCTGAGCTGTGGGGTCCCCGCTCGCACCCACCTTGGCCAGCCCGGCACCGCCTGCTCACTGGCCCTGCTGCCTGCCACCGCCGGCCCCTCCCTCTGCAGGGTGACCAGCAGGGCAATGGGGGAGGAGAGGTGGGGCCTGCTGGCACCCACCTTGGCTGGCCTGGGGCCTGAGGGCTGGGGGCACTCCTGCACCGAGCGTTTGCCCCCTGGTGGTCAGTGCACATCATAGCGACCGGTCATTCCACCAGTTGTTCTGCCGTTCAGTCAATTTGCATATTAGGCTTTTATTATATAGGATATCTTTATTTTAATTTGTCCTTATTGTTGAAAGTATTACAGATGTGTCCTTTGTTCGTTTGTTTTTCCCACTGACCCCCTCCACCCCGCCCCTGCCCCTCCGGGCTTCATTCCTGCACTGTCTGTGTCCATGGGCTAGTGTAGATGCGTGTGAGTTCCTCAGTTCATCCCTCCCCACCCACATCCCACCCCCATCTTCCCTCTGAAATCCGTCCGTCTGCTCCAGGCTTCTATTTCTCTCGTGTTCAGGACCATCATGTCCTCTACCCAGTGTTCTCCCTGGTATGTCCAGGACCCTCCTGGCACCGTAGGTAGCTATTACATGGTAATAACGGAGAGCTGAGTTCTTGGACCAGGTCAGCTGTTGGATTTGGGACCAGAACTTCTCTGACGTTCAGGTGTAAAATGAGAAGGTGTGGTATGGGGTATAGTGGTTTAGAACGTTTAACTTTAAAGTTTATGACCCCTGTTTTAAACGAGTCTTAAGGGAAGCTGTATTGTATCAAACAGAGGTGTTTTGGGTTCAACCTGGGAAGGAGGTTCAATGCCCTTGACGTGGTCCCTAGGCCTGGCCAGCTTTCAGGGCAGACCTGAGGGGCCCCCTAGACCCTGAAGCCATCCCCGGAGGCTCCAGAGGGACCCTGTCGCTGCTCAGAAATCAGCTGAGAAACCACTCACCCAGCGACATCATAGAGTTCCATTTCCTGGAGGTCCACACTCTGACCCAGTGGCATAGATGCTGCTTTCTATCCTACACATCCACGGGGTGCGTGTGCGTGCATGCATGTGCATGTGTGTGTGCGCGTGTGTGCGTGCATGCATGTGCGTGTGTGTGTCTTTTAACTAAGTTTGAGATAGAAGCACTGACTGAGTGTTCCACTTATTGATGCATTCATTGGTTGATTCCTGTATGTGCCCTGACTGGGGATCGAACCTGTGACCTTGACCTACCAGGTCGATGCTCTAACCGACCGAGCTGCCCTTCCCGGGCCCACGCTGTGGCCCGCGGTGTTCTCTCCTTCGTCCCGGAGTCGGGCGGACGGGCCCCGGGCGGGCGGGAGCGGGCGGCGGGGGACGGAGAGCAGGGCTCTGACCGCGCCGTGCCCGTGTGCCGCAGGTACCTTCGACCGGAGCGTGACGCTGCTGGAGGTGTGCGGGAGCTGGCCCGAGGGCTTCGGGCTGCGGCACACGTCCTCCCTGGAGCACACGGAGGAGGGCCTGCGGGAGCGGCTCGCCGACGCCATGGCCGAGTCGCCCAGCCGGGACGTGGTGGGATCCGGAACAGGTAACGTGGCCGGCGGTGCGGAGCTCCCGTGGCGGGCGAGGGCGTGTGTCTGTGTTCACGGCTCTGATCGCCGGCCCCCGGGGAAGCTCCCAGCAACGGGACCCCCTGTGTGGAGGGGAGTTCCCGGGGAACGGACCCCCCTCGGGGCCATGGTTCACACAGAGGTTGTCAGGGACGCAGCATTCTGTCCGCGGCTCCAGGAGGACGCCTCCCGCAGGGGAAGGGTCGGCGGTGGCGTCTCTAAGGGTTTCCGCAGCCTTTGCTCCGGCAGCGCCTGCTCCTGCCAGGCTGGAGGCCTCCCAGCGGCCAGCGGCCTCTTGGTCAGCCGGCACGCGGGCCGAGGGGGACGTCAGCCGGGCGGACAGTCAGTAACGGAGCAAAACCGGCAGCGAGCCATCTGCTAGGCGGCTGGGGCCCCAGGGAGACTGTGTGGCCTTAAGCAGGTTCATGAAATTAAAAAAAAAAAAAAAAAAAAAAAAAAAGATTAAGAAGAAGAAGAAATGAGAGAGGAAATTCAAACTGAATGGCCCAGGGGTCAGAACAATAGGAGACGCCCTTTTGGGGCAGAGGGATCGCTTGTGCCCCTCCCCCCAGCTGTCCCCGAGGGGAGTCTTCGGGTCTCCGTGGACCGTGTGCAGGTGAGCAAGGCCAGCGAGTGATGCAGAGATGGCGGGAGGTCGCCCGCTTCCCTCTGCGTTGCTGAGAACCGCCTGTCACGGCTTAGAACTGCCGTCCCGCCTCGACGGGCAGCGAGCACCCCCTGCCCGTCACCTGCTGCCCAGAAAGAGCCTGGGACAGGCGGGGCCGCGGGGGATGAGAGTGTCTGGCAAGTCACCCTTGGCCATAGCGGCCTCTCTGTCTCTCCCCCCGCAACCCTGCTTCTGTGGATGGTGCATAGGACAGCCCAGTGGTCGGCAAACTCATTAGTCCACAGAGCCAAATTATCAATAGCACAACAATTGACATTTCTTTTGAGAGCCACATTGTTTAAACTTAAACTTCTTCTGACGCCACTTCTTCAAAATAGCCTCGCCCAGGCCATGGTATTTTGTGGAAGAGCCACACTCAAGGGGCCAAAGAGCCACATGTGGCTCGCGAGCCGCGGTTTGCCAACCACTGGGCTAGGGTGACAGCCGGTGTGTGCCTGTCAGGGACCAGAGACGGCCGGTCCCTGCAGCCTTCTGGGAGGCGCTGGCGGTTTTGGTGCAGCCCCCGGGCCTGCTGGCCTCTTACCGAGGTTGCATGGAGCATGCTCTCCTGACCCCTGACCCTGCAGCCCCGCACCCAGCATGCCCCGCTCTCCTACAGGGTCAGCTAGTGACTGGCTGGTAGATGTTTAATGCCCTAATTTGCAGGGAAGCAGGGAAGCAGGAAAAGCCCTAATTTGTCACATTTGGGGGTTGCCATCGCTTAAAAACTCATTCCATTTCAAGCTGCCAGTATGTCCGTCATCTAGCCTGGTGGTCGGCAAACTGTTAGTCCACAGAGCCAGATGCCAACAGGACAACGATCGACATTTCCTTTGACAGCAAAATTTTTTAAACTTCTTCTAACGCCACTTTTTCAAATAGACTCGCCAGGCCTTGGTATTTTGTGGAAGAGCCACACTCAAGGGGCCTAAGAGCCGCGTGTGGCTCGAGAGCCGCGGTTTGCCCACCACGGGGCTAGCAGAATTCCTGAGAAGGCGACATCAGCTGATTGGTTTATTAGTTACCCCAGCACCCGGCCTCCAGTGAGCTGTCCCATAGGGCAGCTCCGCTCTCCCTCCCCACCCCCCTCCACCCCGAACAGCACAGCCCTTCCAAACCTGGCTGCTCAGAGGGGCCCATGAACCTGATTAGGAATTAGTGGCACCCAGCTGCTGATTAGGAATGCGGAATCCCAGGCCCCACAGAGCCCCACCAGGTCACCGGAAAGTCTGCATTAAAGCCCGCGAACCTCTGAGGCGGGCATCGGCTCTGGCCTCCGTGGCGGCTGCCGACCAGAGAGTCTAATCAGGTCACGTGTGCGGCTCGCCCATCCGGCTCCACAATAACCGGCCGGACTGCTTTCTCGCTAATATCATTACCCTCCTTCCTCCCCCCACCCCCATCCCTGCTCACACTCCCCTCGTCCCCATTCAGCAGAATTTTCCAAATGGAGGTCAGTCGGACTCTGCTCTCCCTGAGGCTGCTGAAGGAGAATCACAAACCAGTCAGATGGGTGCCTCTGCCCCTGGGTGGTCTCCCCTCTCCGGTGAGCCTGGCTGCCCTGTGTGTCCCTGCCACCCCCTCCCCTCGTCTCAGGCAGCACTCATCTTCTGCAGCCGACACCGGTGCCCGGAGCCGGGTCCGGCCCCTCGGGGGTCCGCAGTCACTGCCGACGGAGGGAATTCTCCATCCAACCTGGACGCTAGCCGTCCTGGCATCAATCCCGCTTTGCTGCGGGGGCAACTCCGTCTGTTTTCATCCTTTGAGACCCCCCCCCCAAGTCTCTGGTCCTCGAAGAGCTTGTGTATTACGTTTAACTTCTTTTTTTTCATAGACTTGCTAGTTATTTAGCAGGACTTAACGTGCTGCTTATTTAGTGGAGTACGTAGCTCGCCATCCGCCACCTTGACATCAGTCTCTTTCCCTCTTCATGGACACTGTTTCGAACTTTCCTCCCTCAAATCCCGTCCCCGCCATCGTGTCCCTCCCGCTCAGACAACGGCTCAGTGGTGGTCGTCATTGAGGAAACCCCTTGAGTTCCCGCACTCAGACCCTAAATGCCCCTGCAACGTTCCTCCCTCCTCCTGTTTCTGCCCCCAGATCGCCCCCCGGCCACCGCAGCCCCTCGCCGGCTGACCTCCACCCGGTCAGTCAAGCCGCTGCGCCCCGGCCCTGGCCCTGTGCACGCACCCCGTGACCTTGATCTTGCTTTCCCACGCTCTCCCGGCTCGCCTTCTGCCTCAGGCCACTTCTCGGTTCCTGCCCTGGGTTTTCCTCGTCTGTCGGCCTCAGTGTGTTTCTCGGGGGCCCCTCTCAGCCCCTTTCTTGTCCCTCAGTCGGTACAGGACATCTCCACTGCTACTGAGGCCCCTAGTGCCGTCTGTAAACTGACCACTTCCCAGTCAGCTCCCCGTTGGCTCTCTCTCCTGGTCTCCAGAACCATCCAGACGGTCACCCACTGACATCTCTGCATCCACAGCTGGAACTGCCCTCCCCCTGTCCTGTCCTCCTCCCGGGCGCGTCCGCCTCATGGTGTCCACAGCCTTCTCAACCAGCCACTGTCCTCTCTCCGGCCAAGCCGAGCTCCCCAAGGGTCTCCGGGCACACGTGCCCCCGCCCCCCGCCTGCCTGGCCCCTGCACATGCCTCTCCCCGGGCCTGGAATGCCGGCTCCCACAGCCCCCTCCCCTCCCGCTCACCCTCCTCGGAATAGCTTGACTAATTCCTGCTTAGCAGACATTCCTTTCAAAATTGCCTTTTGCAGGAAAGTAGAATTTTTTAAATAAGCAAAACATTGACTTTTTTCCAATTGTTTTGTGTCGGGGTAAAGATATAACCAAATATCCCCCAAAATTTAATGAGCACCTGGATACATATGAAGTACGTTTCCTCTTTAGACATGAACTCTTCCCATCGCTGTTTAGCTACACCCTGCCTTTGCCTTCCGCTTCCTCTGTCCAACAGCGACAGCCTCAGCCCCATCCGCAGGGGCCTGGTCCGCTGTCTTAACGTGCTCCTGGCGCGTCGGTGCTGCAGGCCGCCTCCTCCTGCTGCTGTGACTGAGGAGCCCACTCAGTCAGTTCTCCAGGTCCAGGGGGACCGTCTCTTCCCTGTGGCTGTGGCTTCCTGCAGTCCGGGAGTCCTGCTCCCTCTCCTTCAGGCTTCGTCGTCTCTGTCTGCGGCCTCTTGAGCACACTCTTCCATCCAGAGCAGTTCCTCGTGGGGAGCACACTGCCAGCTCCATCTTTGCCTCCGACCTGCTGTCAGGAGTGCATTTATTTCCTCGCCCAGATGTAGAAAACTTGCACAAGACAATATGATATGCTAAGCAATGCATTCTAGGACTTTCTATTTTTCTCTTTTCTCTTTATTGAAATGTCACAAACAGCTAACTTGTTTTCACAACACATGGTCGAATCACTATCTACGGTTGGGAAACCAGGACTCAAGTTCGTTCTCCTCGCCCCTCTGAGTCTCCCTCTGTGTGCATTCATTCCTCAGCAGAAAAGGCGTGTGTGAGGGTCTTCTCAGCTAAAGCTCTTCCAACGTTTTATCAGAAACGGCTCTGACTTACGGAGAGGGCGTGAATTGTTCCCTCCTGAACAGCAAAGGCACGTTCTGAACGTTAGACGCAGCTTTTTAAGTGCTCAAGGTTTCAGTAAGTTGGTTGACAAATATCTGTGGATGGCCTGTGTTCTGCCAAAGATAAGCTAAAAGCTTGTGTGTGTGTGCACGCGTGTGTGCACGTGCTAATAACACTTCCGGCTGTATGTAGGAATTGAGCTCTCAACAAATGCTAGCTAGCATTGCGGGGTTGACCAGATGCACACAGGCTGTGTGGATCCCTATCTCCCCTCTGGTCTAGCTCCTGCCCTGGGCCTCGGGTGCCTGCTTTTCCCGGCTGGGGGCCGGGGCAGCTCCCTGCCAGGACACCTCCTGTGAGGACACCTCCTGTGGGGCTTATAACTCCCTTGCAAGGTGCCGCAGGACCGGGCCACAACCATGCCAGGCATCAGGCCATGAATTAATCCTCTTACTTTTAGGCATCCCTACGCTCAGGCAAACACTCTTCCAAGCTCCTTGGCCAGTCCCTTAGGTCCTTGACTCTCGTCCTGCGGGGCCTGTCAGAGAACGGTCAGTGTCCTCTCAGGAGCTCCTGCCTGTGGCTGCGGCAGGCAGGCAGGCAGGCCGTGGGCGCCTCTGACGTCCTCCACAGCAGGGTGGGCATCTCAGGAAAACCCGGTTCCCACCCTCAGAGATTCAGTGCTGAGCTGTGGGTGGGGTCCTTCTGCTCCTCTCACCGCTGCCCTTGGGGACCCACCTGGCTGAGCCGGGCCAAGCCGACAGCCACGGGCTCCTGCCCACAGCCCGTGCTCCTTCCAGGACTCAACAGCGAACACTCCCCAGGAGCAGACGCCACGATGGCGGGGGTGGTGGGCGGCACTGCCGGTGTTGCTGTTCGTGTCTCCATCGGCCCGGTGTCCCGGTGCCTGCGCTAGCTGCTCTCACAGGCAGGAAAGGCCGGGTCGGAGGGTCCTCGCGGCTCCCAGCTCCTGCTGCTGGGGAGAAGGCCCTGCTCAGTGCTCTTTCCCGCGGGGTCAGACGTCCTCACCAGGAAGGGGAGCCTGTGACCTTGGGCAGCCTCGTCTCCCCTCCTCGGCCCGCTCTCTCCTCCAGCGCCAAGGGCAGGGAAGCCGGCGCCTCTGGTAAATGTTTACCGATCGCACCAGCAGGGCCCGGCCCCGGGGCCCCTGCGCCGAGCGCTCTGTGTGGTCGCCTCCTCTCCTCCTCTCGCCTGGAGAGCGATGGCCACCTCCTCCCACGCGGCTTCCGAAGCTCTGCCCCACGCCGGCCCCCTCAACGTCCCCTGACCAGGTCATCACGCCGGGGAGACGCTCCTGTCCCCAGCGCACAAAGGGAAACGGCGAAAGGTGGGCAGCAGGATTCTCACTACAAGATACGGGATTAAACTGGGAAATCCGGGAAGCGTTCCCGGCGCTCAGACCCTGGCGTTCTCACCTGGGCAGAAGGGTGTGGTCGTCACGCCCACCCTTTATTCAGAACAGGAGGGGTCCCCGGGAGAGGCAGGGGTGCTCGCTCGGAGGGCGCCCTCTGACCGTTGGCCCATGTCCCTACTCACAGGTGCCCAGGCCCACACCCTGCAGCCCAGGCTCCTCTCAAGTCCCTGACAGGCCTTCCCCCAACCCTCCTCCCACTTCCCGTCCACAAGGACCCTCCCTCCGGGTTCCCCACCACCGCCTTCCCGCAGACATCCTCCCCTGTCCGTGTCCCAGCATCCCCGGCTCCGCCCTGCTCCCCTGCCTCTGCTGCCGTGCCTGCTCCCTCCCCCTCTGCTCAGCCACCGGCTTAGACGGAGCTCCAACCTCAGCTCCTCGGTGACGCTTTCTCTGGCCAAGCAGCCAAGCGCCCCTCTGTCTCCGATGAGCTTCTGCACCAGCTCCTGGGACACTTGGCCCCGGACCAACAGCATCGCCTCTTCCATTAACCGGCAGTGGCCGGGCCCCTCCGACACGCCGCAGGGGAGGCCCCGCTCTGGTGGGCCCTCGGCCCCTGCCTCAGCCACACTGCCCGGCAGTGATCTTACCTAACCCCCTCCAGATTCTGCGACTGTGTCTGTTACCTCCAACCTCCAGCCCCCTCCTCCTCCCTGCCCAGCCCGGGGAGGAGAGCCACGCTGAGCCCCGGTTAATGTTCGTCGAGTGACGGAACGGGGTTTGGTGGCTCCTGAGAGGCCGACGAAGCCAGCCAGAGCCCTGGGCCAAATCACTGTGTGCAAAAGACTCGCTGCTGGCTCCTTTCAGGCAGTTCTCAGATCTGAGTCCAGGTCAATAGTGTCTCTCTCTCTCTCTCTCTCTCTCTCTCTCTCTCTCTCTCTCTCTCTCTCTCTCCTCTGCACATCTTGTAGTTGCCCAAAGTCTACTTTGAACTCTTTAACCAAAACATGCTGGTTTCTGTCCACAAGGAGCGGGTACGCCTGTGACTTCACGAGTGAGCCTTCCGAGTCCCCTTTCCGGGGGCCGCCCCGGCCGGCGGCAGGGATTCCTGTAGAAAACGTCCAGGCGTGGACACAGGGTGGGGCGGGGCGGGGCGGTGGGACCCCCCAGGTAAGGCCATCCTCCAGCGACGTTGAGGAGGTCAATGGTTAACAAAGGGGAGGGTTTCTCGCTGATCCTCCGCGGCCAGGGAGTCCACCTTCAGCCGCTGAGCTTTCTGGGAGGGTGAGGCCCGAGCAAAGTCGCGCACAGTCACGGGTGGCTAGATGCCCGTCGTGCATGTGTGCAGGAGCCTCTGGCCCGTTAGGGACCCAGGGCCTCCGCTTCACAGCAGGGAGGACGCTGCGCAGAGGAGGCAGAGCCACGCCAGTCCGGTCGGAGGGAACAAGAGGCGTTTCTGAGCACGCACGGCAGATTCTGGGCCATGTCTTCCCACCCTCTCTCTCTCTTTCTCTCTCTCTCTCTGTCCCGGGCCTGCCCCCGGGCCTGCAGCCCCTTCAGCAGACAGCTACACATTCACTGGCAGAACCCAACCCCAGCTCCACCGACCTCCCCTGACCCCCCCCCGCCACACACACACACACACACACACACACACACACGTGTTATTTTGTGTAGCTCAATAGCTTGCAATTCCACAACCTCTGAGGGCTTAGTTGAGTTTGGGGAGAACCGACATCCAGTTGCTTCATTGGTTTGGGACGACCCTCCATTCCGGCCCCTCCCCCCCCCCCCCCCCCGCTCATGTGTCTGGCACGTCCCGCCCTCTCCGGCTCTCCACGTGGACGGGGGTGACTGGCACAGGCCTCGGGGCTGTGGGGGAAGCTAAGCCTACCAGCGCCCCTGCCTCCCTCTGGGCACGGGCTGGCGCTGGGAAGGCATGGAGAATCGGGTTTCAGACTTTATCCAGCCCCTGAGCCCGAGGAGCTGCCCGGGAGCCGAGCTGCCTGGGAGCGTGCGGTTGGTGCGTTTGAGCACATCTCCACGAGCGCCCAGCCCCACGGCCACTCTGAGCTCCAGGCCGGCTGCTGCGCCCGAGAGCGGGGAGAACACCTGAGGGGCTGCTCTGGGCTCTGCCTCCACGTCCTCACTGCTCCTCAGCCCCTGCGGCAGGCGGCACTGTGGGCAGGAGGGGGGGAGGAGGAGGAGGAGGAGGAGCGGGAGGGATGGCAGCAGGTGAACCCAGTGGGAATGTGCGGACCCCGCCCTGTGCTGTGCCTCGGGACAGACCACGAACACCCCCTGCCCGGCTCTCCATGGTCCAACCAGAGGCTGATGTCTCCCCCCTTCCATCTCGGCTCTTGCTGCTCTCCTAAAGATCCGATATTTAAAGACGTGTTTTATTTCCGATACAGACACAGCCCTTGACGTAGCAGTAAAATCCACCACCCCTGAGAGGCACGTGGCTGTGAAGTGTGTTGGTATGTAACTTCCCGTCTCTGCCCACGTGCGAGGCTCCGTCCCCTGCCCCCTCGTCCCGGGAGAGGGCCGCCCCAGCCCGGCGTGAGGGCGAGAGGTCAGCCCAGGCAGGGGGCGCCTTCGGGCCACGGGGCCGGCCGAGGGGTTTGGGATGGGGAGCGTCGCTGGGCCCCACCCAACAAGAGTCTCTGAGCATCCCGCTTCCCCGCCCCCGCTCCCGAGATGGAAGTCAAATTTTCGGATTCTGCTGTGCAGAGCAGAGGGGTCACCGGGCTCTGATGCATTTACCATTGACTGCCCCTCTTGCAGTGCGTCTATTAGTGAGTAATTTGATTTGTGCCTATTCATTTGCAGTCCCTGCAGGAGCCGGGAGCTGGCCCCTCGTATAATTGGTGCTGTCTCTATTTTTACATCATTAGATTAGCCCCGACTCCTGGCCACTTGTTGTCTGCGCTTGTCTGTCCATTTATACAACCTAATGTAACACAAAATTCATTACTGATCACATTACTTTCAACTCTGAAGCCAGCCTCGTGATAAACATTTGGTTAACCCCTTCCCGCCCGGCAAATGCACTTCCCCTCGGCAGGCGAATCAATATCTTAATACAGCAGAGTGGAATTGCATTTCTGGATTTGTTATTCCTCCTGGAGGAGCAAATGGTAGGGCGCGCGGAGCGAGTGGGACTGAATAATGAATCCGGGCGGGCACCAGCCACCCGGGGAGGGAGCACAAAGGCTCCGCCGGCATCCGCCGCCCCCTTCCCCTCCCTCCCCTCCCCCCCCACGCTCCCCACCCCCGCATGCTCCCTGGCCCAAGGCCCTGCGGCCATTAACGGGGCCTGGGCTCCTCTGCCCAGCGCGGGGCGGAGCGCGGGCTCAGGGGCACCAGCTGGGGCCCCGATGTGGGCAACAGAGACCTTTCCCCTTCCTACCCATCCCCCCCTCCACCTCCCCTTCCCCCCGCCTGTCATTCTCTTCACTGGACCTGGCTTAGCCCAGTGGTCAGCCAACCCGTTAGTCAACAGAGCCAAATACCAACCGTACAACGATGGCCATTTCTTCTGAGAGCCACATGTTTTGAACTTCCTCTAAGGCCACTTCTTCAAAACAGACCCGCCCAGGCCGTGGTCTTTTGTGGAAGAGCCACCCTCAAGGGGCCAAAGAGCCTTGAGTGGCTCACGAGCCGCCGTTTGCCGGCCACTGGGCTAGGGTGACTGGACCAGGAACTGGGTTCGTTCCCTTACAACCTGCTTTGCTTGCATGAAGGTGCCCCACATGTGGGCCTGGCACTAATGCCACCAAGAAATTAAACCCACAGCTGAGCCAAGGCCTGCCCTCTGGAGCCACAGGCACAGGTGCTCTCTGTTAGAGCAGGGTCAGCGCCGTCGGGGTCGGCTGGCTCTCACCTGCCTGTGTGTGCGCCTGCTCTGTCCTGGGTCCTGGTTCTGGGGGAGGGATGCTGTGAGCAGCGCGGGGGCTGCGTGGAGCTGGCCTAACCCCCCCCCCCCCAGAGCTCAGTTAGAGCTGGAAGATTCTCCCCTACCCGCCCGGGCCCTGGCCATCCCTCCCCAGCCCCCTTTGTCTCTGGGTAGCATCCACACCCACTCGAAGTCATTAGCTCGCAGGACAGTTTGTTTCCAGAGGGAAAATGCCCTGACTTATGAAGAAACTCCCGCAGTGACTAGGAAAGTAGGCGTAGAGGAAGCAGAATGGAACCCATTACCGTGAAAGTCATAAATCCCGGAGCAAAATGAAGCCGTGAGCAAGATGCTCAGCTGGGAGTGGGAGCTGGGAAGAGCGCCCAGCCCGTCCAGGGGCTCCCGCCGCCTCCTGCCAGGACTGCCCCGCGGCCCCTGCGGCCGGGCCCCGGTCCAGAGCCCAGCAGGCAGGCCTGACATGACCAGCGGTCAAAGGGACGCCTTGAGAGGCTCAGGGGCCGCCCTTGGCCTTCTCCCCCGGCATCCCTGTACGCTGGGCCGAGCGGGCGGCTGCGAGGGGACATGGCAGAGGGTGCTCCCCCCGCCCGAGGGTGGGGAGCTGCAGGTCTCACGAGGGGCTGCGGAGACTCCAGAATCAGAACCACGTGCCTCCTATTGTGAGGAAGGACGACAGGGCATCTTGGCGGGAGGAGGACACCGGGGTGTCCCCGAGGGGGGCCGGGCAGCAGTGTCTCTGCGGGCGCTCTCCCCGCCCGCCCCCCCTCAGTGCACGGACGGGCTGGTGTCCCCTCTGAGCCCCGGCCCCCATCTAGAAAACGGAGCCGAGGGCGGTGTGACCTTTGCCGAGGAGGACAGGCCGGGGACGGGGAGGCTGGCGGAATGAGAGGCTTTGATTTCTTAACCTTGATGGAAAGTGGGGAAAGCCACATCTTACCAAACTCTTCCGCCCCGTCGCGGGGAATGTAATTACGCTCGGACACGGGAATGAGAACCAGATGTGGCCGCCGCGGGGCAGGGCTCCCGCGTCTGCAGGCCCCGTGCTGCCCGCAGCCCTGGGGCGGCCGGGGACCCACCTGCGAGCTTCCAGGCCGGACTCCGGAGACGGGAGGGGCGGGGCCGGCTGCCAGGCACCTGGCTCCCCGGGATGGTGTCCAAGCCCCGTCTCCTCTGAGGGCACGCCGGGCCCTCGCTGGCACCCGCCCGCCCACACGCAGACACGCACTCACGCCGGGAGGTCACGTCACAGCCTGGGCCGGGCCTTTTCCCCCACAGACAGCATGCCAGGCCGCCCGGCCCTGCGTCTGCCTCGGCTCTGCCCACCCCACCTCCCACGTGGTGCCAGGGACCCGGGGCCGGGAAGGGCCTTCGGGCCTCCTGGGCAGGGAGCACCCTCCGCCCCGGGGGCCTCAGCTGCCAGCACACCAGGGACGGCAAAGCTCACCGTGTCGCCTGGACTCCCCTTCCGCCGGGGCGGCCTCCACACGGGTGCCCTGCGTGTCCTGCTTCTTTTATCCCCGTGGCACCCCTTCTCCCCAGAGCCCACACCCCTCCCTCCCGCCTGACCGCTGAGGAAGCGGGCGAGAAGTGAAGTGACCGCGGGCATTGGGCACGGCCGTCTGCCCGCCACAGGGGGCTCCCGTGACCCCCTGCCTCCCGGCTCAGCCCTTCCCCGCCTCGCGTCCCGGGAGTCTGCCTGCCCCGGCTGCTCCGGCTCAGCCGGGACGCAGAGTCCGCCCGGCAGAGGGGCCCGGGAAGGCCGCTGCCCGGGGTGCTGGTCCCGGCCGGCCGGCGGGTGGGTGATCCTGTTTCTGCTTCTTTGAGGCCAAGACCAGGGAGGACCCGGGTACGGTGGGTCGCTGGGAGGGGCTGTGGCAGTGTTCCTGGGGGGCCGAGGGGCCGTGGCAGCGTTCCTGGGGGGCCGAGGGGCCGTGGCAGCGTTCCTTGGGGGCCGAGGGGCCGTGGCAGCATTCCTGGGGGGCCGGGGGGCCGTGGCAGCGTTCCTGGGGGGCCGGGGGGCCGTGGCAGCGTTCCTGGGGGGCCGGGGGGCCGTGGCAGCGTTCCTGGGGGGCTGGGGGCTGTGGCAGCGTTCCTGGGGGGCTGGGGGGCCGTGGCAGCGTTCCTGGGGGGCTGGGGGGCCGTGGCAGCGTTCCTGGGGGGCTGAGGGGCCGTGGCAGCGTTCCTGGGGGGCTGGGGGCTGTGGCAGCGTTGAGGGGCTGAGGACGTCCCCGCGGGGCCGGGTGTCCCTCCGGAAGGACCTGGGGAACGGCGTCTGCCCTGGGCCAGGCCGGCGCCCCTCCTGCTGGCGCCCTCCCTGTGGGCATGCTCACCAGCTGGTCAGGCGGTGCGGGCACAGAGCGGAGGAAAGCAGGCACAGGTGGGAGCCCTGGGAGGGGCTCTGGCCGGCGGGAAGGGCCGCGTGCGGGGAGGGCAGAGGCAGGTGGCGTCGGCCAGCCGGGCTCTGTGTCAGACGTAGGTGTTAAGCCCAGAGATAACCAGGCCGGAGTGGCCCTGCTTCTCGGCTGCTCCCGGGTCCCACCGGCCCACAGGGGGTCCCTGTTATCCGCACCCAGAGGAGCCCGTCACCCTCAGCCCCCATCTTGCCTGGGAGGCAGCAGGGCCCCTGCTTAGGGGACAGGAGGTCCTGGAGGACCCGCCCCGTCCTCCAAGCCCTCCCTCCGCGACCGTCTGTGGGCCCCTGTGCCCGAGGGGACCCTGCAGGGGGAGCGGGGGGGAGGGCGGGAGGGTGGGTGTGCGCCTGGGCCCGTTCCGGGGCAGCACCAGGAAGCGGCGGGTGCATTCCGGCCTGGCTGGCCGCCTCAGCTTCTTCCTGAAGCCCCGGTTTGCACAGCAGGTCCCAGGCCCTGCTGGCCGGCCCCGAGGGGACCCAGTTCTTGCTCCGGGCAGACCCATCTGGACCCACTTGCTGACCTGCAGCAGCCCTGTGGTCCCTGGTCTCCTCTCCACAGAGCCCGTCCAGGGGAGACACCCCAAACCCCTAACCTCCCCACCGCCCCCACCCCTAACCTCCCCACCCTCACCCCCCACCCCTAACCTCCCCACCCCTAACCTCCCCACCCTCACCCCTCCCATCCCTAACCTCCCCACCCCTAAGCCCCCCCCACCCCTAACCTCCCCACCCCTAACCTCCCCACCGCTCCCCACCCCACGCCCTGGCCCGGGAGCCTCAGGCAGAGGGGATGGAACCATGTGCAGGCCTCCCAGAGCCGGCTGCTCTGGGCCTGGGACCGCCGCTCCCCAGGGTACCGCCGAGCCCAGCCAGGGCTTTAACCACAGACTCCGCCACTGACGGGGGAGACCGGGAGTGGGCGCGGGAGGGAAAATCGATGCACGTCAGCGGGGTTGGAAATTTATTTTCCAGCTGGAGCGGGGTATTTACAGCGAGGCACGGAGGGAAGCGGAGAGCCATAAACACATATCTGCCGTCTTCCTCCGCGGGCCATTTCTTGATTAAAAAGAATCTCTCGCGAGGTCCGGTGGAGGCAGGCTGGCGGGGGGCTGGCTGGCAGAGACACCTGCTGGGGAGGAAGGGGGCGCCCCCCG